GAGTAAATCCGAATAAAATGAGAAAGGCAGCAAATATTTGATTTCACGCAAACAAATCCTATGTATCTCTTGATGCGTATTTCGACCTAATAGGTCTCGTCAGAAGAGCTATTCATAGGGTTCTCAACGTGAAAAATCAATATAGGAAAAAAAAGAGAGCCCCCAACAAAAAAAACCCCAAAATTATAGGGCTGCAGTTCCAGCTGCTGTGCCAGCTGAAGATAACAGGTTTAATAGTTTTGAACATTTTTCAATTATAGATCAGCTAACTACAGCCAGATTTTGCCGCAAAAGCACTTGCAAAAGTAGAACGTGAGTCAGGTGTTTAAAATGTATTGTTTATTTGTGCTTTACAAAGAATCAAAATTGTTTTTTGTATTTTCATACAGGATAGATTTAATATTTTGTATTACCTAAAATAAAACCAATCATACACGATTGTGTGGGTACCTTTTTTTTTAACACTGTGTACATAGTTTTTTTTAAATATTTTTTCTATTACATAATTGAGGTATAAAAGATCTTTTGTTATAAACCGAATTATACATATTATTCTCCTACCTTTGCTTGTAATTTTGATCCTGGTACAATTCGACGTACAGACCGTCCTGATTGGAACCTCCTGTAGGTTCAACTTTCTCCAAAACCGTGGGGCAGCACTCTCCAGGAGGTGGATGGTGTACTTTTGTGTGGGGGTGTAGTTTCTTTGCCATGTGGAATTCGTCGTCATATATATGTAATCTGAAAAAAGAACAGTGATATCAAGAGAAGAAGAAAAACAATTAATTAACTATAAGAGCTCGTATATTGGACAGATATGCACTACCAGGACTAAATTACGGCGGAAAACAAGCTAAGAATCACAACAGACTGATATGCGCCAGTGCCAGTCAACAGACACTTGCATATAGTGGGGCTGATTCACGGAAACTTAAGCTGCAGACTCCGTAGCAGAGACCCTGAAACAGTCAACTATGTCTTGCATGACAGTAATGAATTTTGGGGATTAACAAGTGGCTTTAAAGACATATGGAACCCATCCACTAGATGTATACAAGCTGGTACAGGATTCCAGAATTCTGGAATCAGTATCATACATGGAAGATGTGGCAGTCGTAGCTCAGCAGCCAAGATACTGGCCTTCTAAGCCAGAGCTCTTAAGTTCGATCCTAGACACCAACAACGTTATTTTCAGTTATAAAAATCTGATCGACAAGTTCGGAGAGAAAAACTATCGGTCCCCCGTTGGCGCATCGACACTAGCCACCTGAAACAGGATTAAAGATACAATTAATAGCGGAACAATCCAAAAGAAGGATCTCCCGATTAAAACGTCATACGATATTATTATGAAAGATGTACAATAATCAATTGGTTCAAAACAGTCAGCTTCCTAAAAAAATAGAAGAGCTCCAAGTGTCTAGAAGAAACTATTTTTTTAGAAGAAAAATAGAAAAAGATTGAACACTCACGTTAAGAAAAAAAACTTCTATGTATTGAAAACTGAAAAAATATATATTAAAGGGAAACTAACTTACCCTCCTACGTGATTGTGACCTTTATTCTGTCTTCTAGCATTCCTCTTGTGGCGGTAAAAATCATAAAGAACGTCTTCTGTCTCGTTGAAATACTGGCCGTAAGCTACTGGAATGACCACAGCGGCTAGACCAAGCACCTGGAATAAAACAAGAAATATTTTATTTATCTGTTTTAAAATATAACAAAATATCTGTTAGTAAGTATACTTAAGCAAGTATGTATAATGCATATATTGCATATTTTTCATATTTTATGCAAATATCTGGAGATTTTGCATATTTATAGAAAAAATGCATAGAATGCATAAACGTTAATTTGTTTCGAATTTCGGATTTGAAATAATATTAATCTAATCCTAGATAATGGTACGCCTAAGTAACTGGAAATTACAATGTTCATTTTATTTCAATATTTCAGTCTTCAATATTATCGATAGTACCTATAGATACTACCTTATGTTCTTGGTATTGTTGTAGCAGGTAACCGACTATATTATCTGATAATCCCATAATAAAAGGGTGTTTTAAAAGTTTATTGCGTGGAATAGGAATAAAATTGTCCTTTTGTACATAAATCATTGTGTTCTCAAAAGTGAAATTGAAAACTTAACCATCGTCAGTCGAGCTTGTTTAATTTGTTAACTATTTTAATTTTAAAATGCCGAAAATAACTAATGTCGCTACTTGGATTAAATCTTACAAGGAGCTATCTATGGATATAGATAAGTTTATTGTTCGGTTTGTGGCAAAATTGTAGGTACTAAATATTTAATACTGCTCTATGTTTGATATGTTATTTAAAAAATTTTAATGATTGCATAGATTAACGTTAATAAAACGGGAATAATATAATTTTCCATAATATAACACCATCTTTCAGAAAAAACAACTACTTAGGCAAATATATTAAAAACAACAAGAGCCAAAATAAAGAGCACTTACACAGTGGTGTATATAAACTTAAATGTGGCGACTATCCAAAAACATACATCGGTCAAACTTTTAGAAATTTTAACAAACGAATAGCAGAACATAAAAGGGCTTTCAATAATAGAAAAAAAGATTCTACATATGCATTTCACCGTCTAGATCATAATCATTATTTTAATATCTGTATTAGAATCTATGGAAATTAACAAATTAAAAAAACAGACATATTTCTGAATGACCAACTTGAGACAAACAGTTCTTCCCTCCTCAACCTATTTTGTTAAAGACTATAAAGTGTAAACGAATCCAAAAAAAAGATTACTTGAGAAAGGCACTCTGACGAAACAGCTGTAATGATAAGATTTTATAATAAATTTTGTGGAAGTTTTGAAAACAAAGTTTTCAGTGTTCTATTGTTACATAAAATGAATTTCCATCAAATAACGGTCGAATACATTACGTAGTTATTTATATTAAAAAATTAATTACAGGTTCCATGCGAAAAGAAATTTCACAGGTCAACATGTCAGAACGGCGGCACATATAGAAAAATATCAAACTTCGGTTTTTTAGTCTTTTCGGTCAAGTTCGAAAGAAGGAAACGAATAAGATACTTTAATGAAGACTTGTGCCGTGCATTAATCTCTTCAAACATACCGACTTCAAAATTATTAAATGAAAACTTAAATTCTTTTTTAAAAACATATTGTAAATTAAATCTACCAAGTGAAAAGACTTTAAAGAGGAACCATGTCAACTCGTTGATTTCATTACAATTAGATTAGAAAAACCAACTCTGCAACAATATCACGTTTTGAACAAGAACAAATATCAAACTTTTTTTCCTGCGGCTGGTTCTAGCCATAAATTATTACTTTTTTACTTAATACACATTACTTGTTTAGCACATGGAATGGACATAGTTGAGAAAGAAATTAGAAAAAAGTTTCCTTTTGTAAACTCCTAAATGCTTTTAAATATTCGACTTCCACCAAAACCCGTTTTAACATGATGGGGAACATGGTTAAAAGCCTCTTTTTTCTATTCAGACTCTTTTATAGATTTAAAAAATATATTGATGCTTTAACGAATGAAAGTTCAAAATCTCTGTTAGATTCTAAACAAATTTTTATAAACAACGTCCCAACTCTAAACTCACTTTAACTCTCTGTTGTCCCATTCTCCATCGTTTAGGCCTCTCTTACTCATGGCGTCACGCGTCGTCTTCTTTGTTCCTCCAGGATCTTCGGGGTCGTCCTCTTTTCCTCCTTAATATGGGGCCCCATTCGGTTTTTCTCTTTATTCCTCTGCTGTCGCTAGTTCTTACATGTCCATAATACTTTAGTCTTTTTTGTTATGTTGGTATTTCTGTTTCTATTGATGTTCTTTTCCTTATTTCGTCATTACTTCTACTATCCATTCTTGTTACTCTACAGTATCTTCGCAGGCATTCCATCTCTGTTGCTACTATCTTACTGCTGTTTTTCTTTTTTATAATCAAATTTTCAGCCCTATACTTCGCACTAATATTTTATAAATCTGTGTTTTTGTCTTCATATTTAGGTGTCTAAAAACCATACTGAGTTAAGTTGTCTGGATTGCTGTTCTTGTTTGTCCTAATCTTGGCTTAATTTCTTCCTCTGTTGTTGCCTTTTTCGTGATTATAAACCACCAGTATTTGAATTTATCTTTTTCTTAGATTGTTAAGTTGTCATCAATCTGTAGATTTTCTTCACTTGTAGATAGGTACTCTGTTTTCGCGAGGTATAAGTTGGTATAAGTATTATTCTTGTAGTTTCTTTATCATGTAACTGAGGTGTTCTTGGTCTTATGCAATCACTAATTGATCGATCGTCTGTAAAGCTTAACGTATATAGGTATTCGTTTCGTACCGGTACTCCCATGCCTTCGCATTTTCTTTTCCATGTAGTCAAGGCTTTCTCTAAGTATATTTTAAATACAGTTGGAGATGAGGAATAATCCTGCAGGCGCCCTTTTGTTGTGGTGAAGTCTTCGATGATTCTTTTTCCCATTTTAATGGACACTTTATTTTCTTTATACAGAGCTTTTGTAGCTTCTGTGAGTGAGGTGTGAGTGACATAGCTTCTCAATAAGTTCCGTCTGTATTTCTAATTTGTACATTGTCTACTATAGTTCTAACCTTGGTACAGAGTCAGACGCCTTTCTCAGGTCCACAAATGTCAAAAGTATATCTTTATTTTTTGCTTTTTTCTTTTCCAACAGTTATTCCAGTGTGTATATTTATGTGGTCTATGCATCATTTTCCTGCCGTGAAGCCTGCCTGATCCTCCCCGATTTTGCCTTATCGCTTGCTCTATCTTTTATCGCAGTGTCTTCCCATATAATCTTCTTATTAATGATATTACGCTTATTCTCTGTAGTTTTCGCATCTTTTTCTATCTCCTTTCTTAAATATAGATGTCATATATGCCTTAGTCCATTCCTTTAAAAGCTGCTCTCCATTTATGGCTTTCTGAAATATCCATTTTATCATCCAGTATAATTTTTTTGAGCCGTACTTTAAAACCTCATGTATGATGTCTCCAGGTACCGCTACGTTCTTAATTTTGATAGCTTTTATGGCCGTTCTCATTTCAATATCTGTTATTTCTATTTCTTGTTATGGGTATCTGTTTTCTTTTCCAATTAATTGTGTTCTTTATTCTGTTAACAGTTCCTTGTAATAGTCCTTCCATTCTTTGTCCTGCTTATTTCCCAATTAATTTTTTTTTGAATTTTGTTTCAATCCTCTCAGTACTTTCCATGATTTCGAAGTTCTTGCACCTCCTATGTATGTTTCAATCTTTAGGCAGGTTCTTTTCCATTCTTCATTCTTTTGTTGTGTTATTTATAAGCAGCAACTTTTTTTAGTTCGCTTCATAAAACTATTACTCAATTAGAATCATCAAAGTTGTCCATGGTAGAAAGCATAGCCTAATAAAAGAAATTAGATCCGCTTATCAAAATGTTATGTTATTTAATATATACTCTGAATATATCTTCGAGCAAGCGCTGGAAGAACTACAAGAAGGCGTATTAGTCAACGGAAGGCGTCTAAACAACATTAGATATGCCGACGACGCAGCAGTTTTCGCAGATAGTCTGGACGGTTTGCAAAGAATAATGTCGCGTATATCATATAAGTAGTGAACACGGACTTGATCTTAATACGAAGAAAACAAAATACATGGTAGTCAGTAAGCGCGAAATATTAAATACACAGCTTTTGGTTAACCAACATCCAATTGACAGAGTGGACAGCTACACATACCTTGGTACCAACATTAACAGCCAATGGGATCACTCCAGTGAAATGAAACAACGCATAGGAAAAGCGAGGTCAGCGTTCATAATGATGAAGTCTCTTTTCAGAAGTCATGATTTACCACTCGCCACCAAAATCTCTCTTATTAGATGCTATGTATTTTCTACCTTATTATACGGAGTAGAGGCCTGGACACTTTCCGAAGCTTCCTTAAGAAAACTCGAGGCATTCGAGATGTGGTGTTACAGACGTATCTTAAGAATTTCATGAGTGGATCGTGTGACTAATGTTGAGGTCCTACGTAGAATAGGCAAGGAATGCGAGATTACTAACACTATCAAAGAGCGCAAACTGGAATATCTTTGCCATGTTATGAGGAATCAACAGAGATACGGCTTGTTGCAACTCATTCTTCAGGGCAAGGTATTTGGAAAGAGGGACCAGGGAGAAGAAGAATATCTTGGCTTCAAAACCTGAGAAAGTGGTTTAATACATCGACAACCGAACTATTCAGAATAGCAGCAAGCAAAGTTAGGATAGCCATGTTGATCGCCAACATCCGGAACGGATAGGCACCGTAAGAAGAAGTTCAAAATGTTAAAGGTGACACTGGAAAGATATTCTTCAAAAATTTAATACAATAATTCAAAAAAGATTAACATCAAATGTAGAAAGATGTCCTATTTTGGACACGTAGTAAGAGGAGACCGATATAATATTCTTTAACTTATTATTATGGGTAAAATCCAAGGACGCAGAGGAATTGGTAGAAAGCAGGCCTCTTGGTTGAAAAATATCAGGGAGTGGACAGGAATAAGGAAAGCTGAGCAACTCTTTAGAATAGCTCGAGACAGAGACAGTTACGCCATGTTAATCGCCAACGTCAAGGGGACTTGATAGGGCACGTTAAGAAGAAGAATTCAAAAAAACAATGCTGTTCAGAACTTACTGAGGTAGCTGAAGTTCTTTTTGGTAATTTTTTCGAAGAAATAGATTTAGAACCAAATATTTACATTACAACCATTACATCCGTTGATGTGCAAAGGAGTTTCTCAATTTACAAATATTTTGAAAAACATTTGGTCATTCATTGTTTCCATAATTCTAAGGAATAGTATTTTACTTTTTTACTACTTTCATTTTAAAGAGTACATATTGTGAAACTATATAGTGTAAGGGCATAAACACAAAAGTAGAATATTTATCTAAAATACTCCTACCACAGCACTGATATAGTTGTAAAACAGCATTAAGTATAATAAATTGTTGATTGTCTGTAATATTCCGAGCTGAG